AACGCAGTTGGGCAATTCCTGCTCCAGCACTGAGCAGTACGCTGCAACATTTTGACCCAATTAAGTCAGTTTTGTTCCCAAGAATGTTGTTTAGTTAATCAGAGGCTTATGTTTGCCTTGATGCTGAGGGAAGTGCAGACTGTTCTCTCTCAGGAAGGTCCTGTGCTCCGGTTGAAGGCAGACGTGTTGGGAGAATTGTTTGCAGGAAAAAACAATGCATTCTTGTGGCTTTCCATTTGCATGCTGGACCAATGTCTCCCAAACAGTGAAGGCTATTTAGTTTTTCTGATGTTCTGATACAAAGTGGAGCTGTTTAACCAAATTGTCTTTGGTACTTTTTGGATCTGCTTTGCTGCAACAGAGACTGTGTGTTACAAATGATAGTGGGCAGAAAAAGGTGCAAATTATAGGGACTTAATTAGGAAGGTAAAGGAACGGCATTGAACAACTCCATGAAGCCTATTTCAATTTAGAGCACATCTAAGCATAGGGATCATTTTTCATCACTGAGAAGAAAAGCTGTGCTGTATTTGACTGACAGGTTTTTACAGTCAGATGGCCACGTGGTATAACTTTATATCCTTTTTTTTCCTGGACATCCTCCTTTGGCCCTGGTTCCATCTCTTTATAACCCCTTCTGTAGGAGCTGGGATTTCTTATTTAAAAGTGAACTGTAAATAGCAGCATTTACTACTGCAGTATCTGGTGAATTCCCCTCTAATGTGGCTGAAGGAGCCAGCTTGGCGTTGGAGCCCACAAGGAGCGAGGTGTTGGCACTGATCCACAGCAGCCTAAGAACAGCACTCAGTGCATCCTCATAAAAAGGGATGCAAGTGCTTCTCTCCAGGCAGGTATATAGGGTGCTTAACACCTCAGCCTAATGGAGACAGGCCAGCAACCTCCTTGAATCTTCTATATGGTTCGGTACCCTTGATACTTTGCATCACATTGTAACCCCGCTTAAACTCATCTCTTAGTCATGCACATGTGTTTTCCTATGAACCACTTTATGTATCCATCACATGAGCTTTGTGAGGTTTCAGCAATGAACATGTATTAAACCCTTTGAGATCCAGAGATGAAAGGAGCTGTGGTGTACAGTGTTGCGGTGGCGGCACGCTGACTCAGTGCAGTATGACTGCAAAATAACAGTCCTTAAAAAACAGTGATGCGGAGCCTGGCAAGGTCTCCTTTTCTCTGTGGGACACACAGGGCAGTATGTGTTTTATACAAGGGAGTTTTTTAGGGGCTGAGAGACCTCCATGAAAAAGAGAGACTTTTCCTAGCATTCACTTTCTAAACTTGGGTGGTTAGTGATCCTCTGGTGGCTGCCCACAGGCATAGGATTACCTGAGCAGAGCTGGTATGTGGACAGAGATTTTTCATTAAGGATTATGTTAGTTCTCTTATAAGTCTCTTCCCTGAAAGCACAGTGGATCCTTCTCCCAGGGAAGGAGCAGGTTGGAGGTGTTCAACCTTTGCCCAGTCTCTGGTATTCTTTGATGTTTATAGAAACCCTTTCTGGGCTTCCATTCCAGGATGTGTTTTTTGGCTTGTCTGTACATGCCAGACTGGGAAGTGCAGTGTGCAATGTGATACTTCACATGCACTGTTGTGTACATGAGTGTTTTCACAGGACTGATACAATTTAAGGGAGTGTTTCTCAACTTTGCTGGAGAGACATTTTTCTTTAGAGCCACATCTTTGGGTAAGATGCTCCTTAAGAGTACGTGGGTGTGACAGGGGTCCATCCCTGGGCCTGTCTAACATAGGCCTGACCCTGTCTCTGGGCTCCCCACCCACCTATCTCGCCTGCCATGCCTTGATGGAACAATAATTATGATGTTACTCAGGTGGGAGGCTGCCCATTTACTACCTCAACACTAGGGGTCGCTATCTACCGCTCCAAACCTCCCCTACACAGTGGCCCATGCCTCGTAGATGGTATATAAATGTTGACCTGTGCCCTAAGGCGCTGGGGTCTGAGCATCCCCTGTCACTGCACCCCCCTGGCACTGGGGTCTGAGTACGGTAGTGTGCCCCAACGAGGCCCCCTCCTCCCCAAATAGCCTCAGCCCAGTCCAGCAGATAAACCAATAACATAAATACGAGCCCCTGGGCTACAACATAATACAAGTCATACAAGCCACACTCTGGCTCCTTGAAAACTCCAAACTGTTCCTCGCATATTGAGCACCCCCCAGCTCTGGGTACCTTGTAGATTCCTGGAGTCTCATTAGCCACAGCAACAGTCTGGCCAGCAGCCAGTGTTCCTGGGTAGTTTTGCTGTTCAGGAGCTCTCTTGCCCTGGCTGCTTGCCAGAGACCTCCCCCTGCCAACCTCGGCCCTGGAGTTTATATGTGCCCAGAGGCCTATCCCCTTCATGTCAACTGACCAGCCTGGGTGGTTGGGCTATTAGACCCTACCCTCCTGGTGCTTGATGTTCCTGTAGACTCGGGTATTAAAGGGGCAACCCTGCCTCTTAGTAACAGGGCTGAGGTTCCCTGTTACAGTGCGCTAGCACAATGGTCTAAAGCAGGGGTGCTCAACTTCCAGCCTGCAGGCCAAATCTTTCCATGATTTCCAGCCCACAATGCTCCCCAGAGGTCAGGAAATTTGGCAATGGGGGAGCAATGACAATCAATATGGTCATGCTCCCATGCTGCCAAATTCCTAAAAGCTGGTTGAGTTTTGGAAATTCTCCCCCACACTGCTCTCTGCAGCTAGATCAAGGCTGGGCCCATGCCCCCTGTCCACCTGTGGCTTGATCAGGGCACAGTGAAGCCCCTTTTCCCTTCAGCAGGGCTGGGTTGGGGCCAGGCTGCCTTCCCTTGCTCCTGACCCCCACATGAGGTCCCACCATGACCGCTTTAGGTGCCAGGCCAAGGGCACCAGCCAGATCCGGCCTATGGAGAAATCAGCCACTGCCCATCTGGTCCATCAGCGAAAAAGGTTGAGCACCACTGGTCTAAAGTAATGGTTTCTTCTCTGTTTTCTGGTTCAGATCTCTCCTGGGAATGACAAGAAGTCAGAGCCATTGATTTTTTTTTAAATTTTTTGGTGCTGGTATGATCTCAGCATATTAGCTAGAGATGCAAGGCCCACCTGTCAATTGAGTGGCCAGAGGAACACGCTGTTACACTTAGGAACAGGCTAGTGCAGGAATTTTAGGGATGCAGCCTGACTCTGTTGCTTGAAAAACCTTTGGGCACCTGCAGGGCTCAGTAGCATGGCAGGGGAGAGAACTTTAGTATTGTATTCGCAATCCTCTGTGCTAACTCCTAGATGGGCATCCCTGCCAGCACCTCTCTCTCTAAGATCTGTTGCAGGTATGAAGAAGATACTAGATGTCTTTGACAGGGATAACACCAGCTCTAATGTAAACCAGGGAATCAGCCCAAGCCCCCAGGATGCCGTGCAGAAGTTACGTGCAAGTGTACAGCACACGGCTTTGAGTGTGTCTGCTGAGGTGTTCCCAGTGGGGCTGCAGTGTAACCATGGGGCCCTGCTCTGTGTCTTCAGGGGGCTTGTTGGGTGGCTCCGAGCCAGAAAGTTAATTTTCCGTATCATTTTGTCACGAGAGCATGCTTGAGTCCCCCTCAGGCCATCATTCATTGTAAACAGTCATGATTACCCGGAGCTAGCATGGCTGTTAAGTCTGTAGCCAGTGTCTTTTAAACACAATTACAAGAATTTCCATGGTAAACAAACAGTGCACAGACCCTGCCCTCTTACCCCGGCACCTGCTCGGAAGGGATTAGCGGTTGTAAAGCAAGCATGCTTGTCATTCCCTCCCCTCCCACATAGCTTTCCGAATTGAGTTTTGGATTATGTAACTCAAGCCAGAAACGGCCTGACCTGTGTTCCACTCCCCGTGGGAGCAGCCAGGAGCAGGACTGGGAGCTCTGATTTCTTGCAAACAGGGTTTTCATGGTGCTGACTCACACTTTTCAACAGAGCTTCTCCCATCATCAAAGAATAATGTACCAAATTTGGTGGGCTGCTTTGGATGTCTTTCTTGCACAATGCTGTGCTGTGTACATGGTCTGTCAAGTTCAAAACATACCGGTAATGAAGGAAACTTGCAGTTATAGGTGCAGTTTAAACATTGAACTGTCCCACTTGCCCTTGGGCTGAATATGCTGCAGAGGCTAAAATTTCCATTAGCCAGTCTGATTCCTGCTCTGTTGCAGGAGTTTGTGTATTTGGCCCTAGTTCTTGGCAAGCAGTCTTTCATCCATTTTTCTACAGCCCTTCTTTAATTGTGTTACTGTCTTGCCCCTTTTTCTGCTAGCCGTGAACACCTGTGCTGTCAACAATGGTGGCTGTGAGCACAATTGTCTGCAGCTGACGTTAACTCAACACCGGTGCCAATGCCGGCACAACTATCAGCTGAAGGAGGATGGCAAGCATTGTATCTGTGAGTCTCCCCTGGGCTCTGGGGGTGAATTGGGAATGGAGAAGCACTGCCCTCCCCCTTTTCCATTGCTTTTCTAAGCTTTGGAGCACAGCCAGAGCAGAGCCTGTGGGAGCTCTGTGGTGTGGTTCCTGATGCTTCCCTAAAGGAGGGAGTCAGGCACAAAATGGTTAATGATAACTAGGTGACTAGCCTATGTATCTAACTAAACAGAAACCATCAGGATGCCTCAGTTGCCTGCTCCAATGTTGAGCATATCAGAAAGAGATGAAACTCTCCAGTAGGAAAGAGTGCCAATTCTGCATGCTATATTGCCTGAGACATCTTCCGGGGATTATTTTGGAAGCTGAGGAAGAGCAGCTGGAGCCCAGCCAAACACAGTGAAACTGTTTCAGGCCACATGCTCCTGAGCACACTACAGGGCAGCAGTCTCCATCAGTGAAACAGGAACCCTTCCTCTCTCCTCTGGCCATCAGACCATTCCTGGCAATTATGTCCTGTTCTCTCCATGGGGTGAGGAGGGGCAGTGCTGGAAGTCAGAAGGAACAGGAGTCCAAGCATCTTGCTGACAGTAGTTGGCATGCAAGCTGTGAAGGGAAAGGTTTGGGCTGTGGGGCTCCTCAGGAAATAGGCCTATCTGGGATGTTAAAAATAGAGTGTCTGGGCAGATTTCTCAGTTGTGTGTCTGCCTGGCCCCTGGCATGGGTCAGAAATGGGTCAGATCCCTGGGGAAAGCTGTTGAAAGGAGCTGGCCCTGCTCTTCCCCCCTGCTGGGCTCTCTGGCCGTGCTTGTGCCAGCACTCCTCTGGAAAGGCTCCAGCTAGCTCAGCCCATTGCTTTTCCAGGAACTCATACTGCGTCCCTCGTCTTTTAGATTGAGACAGAAGCTGCAAGCCCTGAATACTCATCTCGTTAATAAAGGCTCCACAGGCATAACCTCTGGTGTCCTGGCCTCATTGCTCCTGATTGCATTTGGTTTCCCCATACCTCTCCCTGAGGCTGCACTTGGGTATGATGGAGGTTAATCTGGGCAGGTGTGCAATGAGGTTGTTTTGCTCTGTGCTTTGTCTCTGCAGTGAAGAGCCCATGTGCTGATCGAAATGGAGGCTGTATGCACAAATGTCAAAATCACCGTGGCATGGCACACTGTGAGTGCCATCCTGGCTACCGGCTGGCAGCTGACAACAAGGCCTGTGAAGGTACAGTACGCACACCATGAGGAGATCTGAAGCCCTCTCTCTCCCTTCTCTTAAAGACCCCCAAGGTAGGGGAGAGCACCACCTCCCTTGGAAGCCCATTTCAAACTTTGGCCACCCTTACCATGAAGAAATTTTTCCTGATATCTAGCCTAAATCTGCTCTCTGTCAGTTTGTGACCATTGTTCCTTGTTACCCCAAGAGGCGCCCTGGTGAACAGAGCATCTCCGATCCATTGCTGCGTTCCCCTAATGAATTTGTAGGCAGCCACAAGATCACCTCTCAGTCTTCTCTTGCAGAGGCTGAAGAGATCCAGGTCCCTCAGTCTCTCCTCATAGGGCTTGTCCTGTAAGCCCCTAACCATATGAGTGGCCCTCCTCTGGACCCTCTCGAGTCTATCAACATCCTTCTTGAAGTACGGCACCCAAAACTGGATGCAGTACTTCAACTGCTGCCTGACCAATGCCACATAGAGGGGAAGTATCACCTCCTTGGATCTATTTGTCATGTATCTGCTGATGCATGATAAAATGCAGTTAGCTTTGCTGATGATTTCATCATGCTGACGATTCATATTCATCTTGGAGTCCACTATTCAGTAGCTGAATGTTTGTCAGCCCCTTCCCCCAGTTACAGAACTTCAACTTAACCACTCATAGGGATATTTTCTGCTTTTACCTAATAGAAGATCCAGGAGTGCAGACAGAAGTGACAATTTTTGCCCTATGTGGCCCCAGAAAGTGATCTATAGCTGTGACCAAACACAAGTGTATAGCTACAGACCGCTTCAAAAATGGCCAATCAGGCTAAAATCTGAACCCTCGTTGCATGAGGGTTCAGATGAAGATGTTTCAAAACAAAAGTGTCTTCTGTAACTTGTGTCTGCCTGCCTGCCAACCTCCAAGTTGTTTTCAGAATGGGAGGGGGGAAGGGAGCAGAAGGACTTAGGTCTGGAGTTTTTTCAGCCCCCGCTGTAGGGTGGAGCAGGTGTATTGGAGTCCCCCAAAGGGGGGCAGGGTCCAATTCACCCACCCCACCCTCCAGCACCATCTGGGAAACCTCTTGGATGAGCTTCCTCTTCTCCCTTTCCCCCCTCCCATTCTGAAAACAGGGCAGACTGACAGGGAGGAGGGGTCATTGCTAGGGCAAACCAGATGCAGGCTTGTAGCCAGCAACTAGATTCCCCTCCAGCCTTGGAACCAAGAGTGAACTTCTGTTTGGTCGGGTTTCGCTGTAACTCAGAACACTTCCTGCAAAGCATTCTGAGTTACAGCGGGAAGCTGCACTTCTGTCTGCGCCCCAGGAGACCAGGTACAGAAACCCTGCAAAATTCCACCCTTGAGGACTCTGAAATGCAGGCAGCCATGCTCTCTGGGGAACATTTTCCTGGCAGAACTTGCTGGCTGGGTGTGCTGACTGCCTGTTTTCTCTTGCAGATGTGAATGAGTGTGCAACTGGACTGGCCATGTGTGCACACAGCTGTCTCAACACTCGGGGCTCCTTCAAATGCACTTGTAACCCCGGGTATGAGCTGGGAGCAGATGGCAAGCAGTGCTACAGTAAGTGTAGATTGTCCTGAAGGAGCCCCTTGCCCTCAGGCAACCTGGAGAGATCTCTTTGCTTATCAGGATTCAGGAGGGAAAGAAGCAGCACTGAGATGACCCCTGGGACTGACAGACTTTCATGCTTTATTGCTCCATAGCAGCTGATACAGTGAGCATTACTGGCATTCTCGCTGGCACATTTCCCAGGATGTTAATGTGACTGTTGTTCCCCCACCCAAGAAGAAGCCATGCCAGGTCCTTAAAGGGCTGGTGCCTCTGGCTGCAGTGAGGGGGAGCTGCTGGAAAGCAATGAGCCAAATTTTGCTCTTGGCTAGCCCTGAAGGGATAATCAAGGAGTTGCAGAGCTGTAATTGGAGGTAGAACTTGACCTCACATGGTTCATTTAGCTCCATCCAGGGATGAAACAAATGTCCAAGGTCGGGAAGATGCAAAGCAAGCTTCAGGCACAAGCTCTTTGTCAGCTGAAAAAAGACTGGCCGGATAATCAATTGTCCACAGACATTTAAAGCACTGCTGGCTGTTGCTGTGAAAGGACCACCCTGGGCTTCCTCCTGGTCATTATACATGCATATGATAGTGGGTTTAATGTTCTCTTAGCTGGGTTTTATCTCTACGTGTGCTCATGCTTGCAATAGTTGTCCTCTGCCAGCCATTGCTAACTGTCTGGGCAGAAGGAGAGTGGAGTGTTCCAGTAGGTTTATCCTTCCGTCTTTCCCAGTCCTGCTGCTAAGGCACTCACTGCTCATCTGAGGCTAAAAACAGATGTCACATTTCTCTGGGAATGAAATTTTCCATTCTGGGATCGTACAGATGTACAACTCCATTGTCCCATGTTACATCCCTGTGAAGTACCAATATAACACTTTTTCTCCCGCCCAATCAGAGTTAATTTGAGGTAATTCCCATTCAATCTGTCTGTGTAAATAACTGTCCTGCTCCTGTTTTGATGCAAGTCAAAGCCCAGGACAGTCAGATCCCAATAAGCCCAACAACTGCTAGTGGCCTCGGTGTTCACATTAAACTTGACTTAAGAAGAAATCAAGTTGAACTGACAGGGTCTGGCAGCGATATGCAGTGCAGGGCTGAAGCTGTATCCCACTGAAGCCCTGAGATAAGACTTATTTCCCCCCAAATAGCACAGCTTATTGAAGCCTGCAGATCATATAAAGATATTTCCCTTAACATGATTGTTTTGTTTTAAACAAGCAAGGTTCCCTCCTGTCTTGGACAGAGATGAGAAATGAAGTCAGCTAGGTTTATAGAGCATCATTTCAGGAAGCCAAACATGAGCCTGAGAGCTGTAGATCTTCTCTATGAAGGGCTAACTGAAGGTTGTAACTGCTCTGGCAAAGGTGGCCAGTCTCTTCTTGGCTGCTGCTGTTCGCTGGTCTGCAGGTGACTTTGGTACATGTGGAAGATTCTCTAAGCCCGGTGCTTTTAGTCAGGTTTGTTTGTTGGTGCTGCTGGTAAAAGATGTAAGACTCTGGACCAGGTAGTCTAAATCAGTGCCTTCCCCACATCCCCTGCACTTGCTGGTATCAGCTACCTCTGCTGCGCTGTGAAATGGCCACCTCTCCAAGTGAGAGGATGTCTCACCCTCTGCACCTGCTTCCGTGAAGCTCTGGCTTCTTCCTGAGACAAAGGCCCCAATTTGATGATTTGTATAGTATTAATTTTCTTCAAGCCTCCTTCTCAGGTGCCTCAGAAGCAGAGACTTGCCTTCCCTAACGCTCTGATTGCTTTACTGTGGTAACAGAGAGACAGGAATGCAATGTTCTCCAACTCACTCTCCCCTTTAATCCTCCGGAGACCAGAGCGAAAGGCAGATCTGCTCTCCTCACTGGGGCATGTCTCTAGTGACTGCCCAGAGGGACACAGCATTTGTGGGCCACATGCTCCTGCCCCTGACCTCACCTGCTCAGGATACTACCAGGGCTTCACAAAAATACCCAACTGCATTTCATGCATTAAAAATAGGAATTTGTTTTGGGGAAGCACAGAACAGAGCCAAGGGCCTTGCAGGCACAAGTCCTTTTGTGCTTAAGGAAAGTAAAATAACCAGCTTTATTTTCAAGGACATGATTAATAAACTTTGTATCAGCCATAGACTCCTCAGTTGAAACCTCTTTATACTGTGGCAAAAGCCTTGTGTATCTTTGCATCTAATGTTTCTTCCAGCATGTCAGGCACTGGGTCCAGCTCCTCTAGCTGTAGGGATCTAAGTATTTCTGTCATTAGCTCTGTGCTGCTGTTCCCATTTCTAGTTGTCATCAAAACTTGATGTGCTGAAATGAGGAAGGTATGGGGCTAACTTCTGGCTGGCAGCATGTACTGGAGCATAGCAGAAATCAGGAGCCAGTGATGGGACCAAGTAGTGGGCTCAATCTGCCCATGTCCAGGTCTGTCCAAAAGGTGATGCAGAGACTGCTCCACAACACAGTTGTGCAGGGATAAGGGGGCCTGGCCTGGCACCGGGAGGGGTGTATGTTTGTGTGTTGCTTCCTTTGCCAGAAGTGGATCCAGGCACAGCTAGTCTTATTCCTTGTCCTTTGCAGGTTATTTCTATTCTCATGATTCCTGGGAGCTATGTTTAGACAGATATATTTTATCCACATGTTAAGACCTGCTTGGTTTCAGTTGGTAATGCCCAGCAGTAGGTCCCCATCAGACTGTGGCACAATGGACCTACAATGGATCATGGCTCAGTCATGATCCTGGGACAAATGCAGTGCTACAGAATGCTGCATACGTACTCATGCAGCCTGTCTGTCTGCTTTCCAGGGATAGAGATGGAGATCGTGAATAGCTGTGAGGCCAACAATGGTGGATGTTCCCATCTTTGCCGTCACACCAGCTCTGGTCCAGAGTGCACCTGTAACTTGGGTTACCAACTCGATGAGGATCAAAAAACTTGCATTGGTAAGGAGCAGAGAAGTCGCTGTTGTTTGTATCACGTAGAAAGCCCTGATCAAGGACCAACCTCCACTATGCAAGGGAGTGCTTTTCTTCTGGTCATGAAAACTTTCCATCTTCAAGCCATAACTTTAACCTCATATGTGATCTTTTCAGGGCCAGGCAGAGCCATACACTTGTTTTCCCTCTACAGGTTTCCCAGTGGCTTGTGCCACTGGCTGTAGTGGGGGAAGGATTTATCAAGAACTGTTGGAAAGCAGGGACTGGGCATGTGTGATGTATGTTTAACTGGGAGCCAATTTGTGGAGCCAAGAACATACTCCATGGAAGGCAGAACCCCAAAGCAAAGTAACCTAAAGCTGCCAGAGCAGCAAGGGTGACAGAAAGCTGATGGAGTTTCAATGGAAAATGATTCTGCACCTGGGAATGCAATAAGAACACCTCAAATATAATCACAGCTGCACCCATCCCAGCAGCAGGGACTTCCTCTCGTGCCTCCGCCACCCCTACACACATATACATATCAGCCCAGCATTTTCACAATCACATCTGGACTGTACAAAGCACTCTGCCATCTGAGAATACTTGTGAACCACAGGACTACCTGACTAAGAGTGCTCAGGGGTGGCTGTACCGTCTCTCTCATGCTTTCCTTGGGAGGCAAGTATTTCCTACTCGGGTGCACAGGTTTCCTTACTTCTGAGCTGGAAGGGAGATAGCCTGTCCTGGGAAACCTCTCTGTGTGGCATCCCTATGTGGCTTGTTTCAGGTGCCCAAAATATGGTCCTGGAATGAATGAGCAGAGGAGTGTTGCCTCTTGTGAACTGTGTCCATGGCAGGAGCAATGAAACAATCGACCAACAATCTCAGTGAGATGGATTGGCTGCCAGCTACAAGCAATCTATAACATGGCCCCATCTGGTTGTAGGAGGGAAGTATTCATACACCGGGTAGGAAGAAACTGCAGCTTGAGCCCCTTCTTCATAAATGCCGTAATCTTGATGTATGCATTTCACTTCAGACTGCATAGTTTCTTGTCCCATGTGGCAATTAACCTCACCAGGAATGCGTCACGCTCATGAGGCAGGCATTTCCTGAAGCAGGAACAAGGATTGCATAGCTTACTTGGGCACTGATTTGAATAGCTGTGTACTAGGAGTGCAGATCTGGCTGTGTCCTTGTCTCAGTCCTGCAGCTCATCTGCAGAGAGGGGTTAAGAAGTGCTAATGAGGCCACATCAGATCTATCATATGCATAGAGCTGGGGGTTCCAAAATAATGCAAAAAAAGGGATGAGACTTCTTTTGCACTGAAAGAAAGAATGTTATCTGCTTTCTATTGAAATGAAAAAGGACAGTAGTGGTGATGAGCAATCACCCATGGCCTAGGGACGGATTTTCATTTTTGGTGCAAAGTGCTGGCTGTGCTACTGAGCCTTAGGATCATTTCCCCTTTACAAAACCACCAATAACAAACAGAATAACATGCCCCACCAGGCAGGGTTACAATATTTCCAGTTCCAAAAAATAGGACACCTTTCAGAGGGACACCTCACTCCCCACCCACAGGCAGAGGGGCTCTGCCAGTGCCCCTCACCCCCCTGCCCTGGCCATGCTGGTGCCCCTCACTCCAGACCTGCAGCCCCCCATCCCTGTTGGTGCCCCTCACTCCTGACCTGCAGCCCTCTGGCCCTGCCAGTGCTCCTCACTCCTGACCTACAGTTCCCCCACTCCCCCATTCCCCCTAACCTTTCTGGAAGGGGTCCCCAGCTGCACCCGTCCCCACCAGGCCAGAGTGCATTAACTCCGATTCATGCAGGTGGCGGCGGAATGAGTCTGGCCCCGATGCAAGCGGGAGGGTATAAATGATGCTGTGGCACCTGCCCACCATGGGCTGGGGCTCCAGTGCTGCACCAGGTAGCCTGGCCACATCCCCCCAGGCAGCGTCTCCCGATCAGCCCAGCCCCACAAGTATGGGCACTGGATCCCGTGCCTCCGGCCTGGTCACAGAGCTTCTTGCTGCCATCAAAGGGCCCCCCCACCCCCTACCCTTACTGGAGGGGCAGGTGCCTGCCCCCCATCCCTGTGCCCTGCCACAGCCCTGGCACTTGGACACCTTTCTCCAGCACCAGCAGGCACCAGGCTCCCTCACACACCCATCCCCTCCACACACTCCTGCCCCCCCCACACCCCCTGACAGTCCCCAAGCCCTGTTCCTCTAACCCCTGCCCCCCACAGATTTACCTGCATCCAGCTGCTGAGGCTGCTCCCACAATGCTGCCTGGCTGCATGCTGGCCACCTATGTGTGCACGTGCAGATGCACATGTACCCGCTACCTCCCCCTGCTTCTGGACATTGGTTCATATTTCAAAAAACCACCCAGGCAGAGATCGGAGGGTCCAAAAAGAGGACATGTCTGGGAAAACCCAGATGTATCATAACCGTAGATTAACTCTCCATGAAATAAGACATACTGGACAAACCAGCTTGTTTGGCACTGACTCTGGTTCTCTGACAGATGATCAAGTGGAAGCTCTCTAAGAGCAGCTGTAGGCATTTCTGTAGAGGTTTCAGGAGGCAATCACAGCATCGGGCTATAAAGCATGGGCCAGGCATTTATGAGCCTGCTGGGCAAAGCACTCATCAGCCCTTCTGTTTGGCATGAAACCCAGATTGCTTGCTGCAGACCTGAGAAGCACTACTTGCTTTCTGTCACACATTAATCTACTAAAGTAATCCTCTCTGTTTCCAGCTCTCACCCAGGCATAGGAAAGCCCTTAACAAGCAATCCTCTTGTGGAGTGTGCAGACCAAGTTGCAGAGCATAAGGGTCTAATATTGTAGTTCATTGGAGCAGTGGGTACTCAGTGGGCACATCTACACGTGCACTTTAATGCGCAGTAGCCTATATTACTGCACATAAAAGCAGCATGTAAAAAAGCTGTGCGATTACACTAATGCTCAGTTAAATAGGCTACTGCGCATTAAGTGTCACCTAAAAATTGGTGCTACTGTGCATTAGTGCAGCCTAATGCATATTAATTTAGTACCTCACATTTGAGGTACTAAATTTAATATGCATTAGGAAAAGCACATTAATGCACCTGTAGATGTGCTCAGTGTGTCTGAAAATTAGTCTTTTATGAACCCTGCTTGAGGTCACACAGGGAATCAGTGAGGGACCTTGGAAGAGAACCACACAATTCTCACACTTTTCCCTTCTACTCAACCACTAAACCATGCTTCTTTTCTAGTTTACTTTCTGTTATGAATATTCAGTCCCTTCCTCAGTAGAGTGGATTCATACCTCGTCTTTAAAGATGAACAACAAACCCTTTTTAAGGTAAACAGGTTGTAGCCGTATTGGTCTAGAGGAAAAAGCAATCAGGGCTCATGGTAGAGGTGTTATCTTTTATTAGAAAAACCAAGATTTTTGCAAAAATCTTCTTTGTCTAATACAGGGGTGGGCAATTCTTTTGGGCAGAGGGCCGCTTACTGAATATTGGCAAGCCATCGAGGGCCATGTGACAGGTAGCCCAGGGCAGATTAATATTAATTTTCTAATAAATTAGAAAATTCTGGCCGCAGGCCAGATAGAATGGCTTGGTGGGCTGCATCCGGCCCCCGGGCCGCATTTTGCCCACCCCAGTCTAATAAAAGATATCACCTCTACCATGAGCATAGGCGGCAGAAGAGGTCGGGGGGCTAATGGGGGTCAGCTCCCCCAAATGGTGGGCAGCAGCAGACATTGCTTTAGGACAGCCTGGCCACAGGCTGCTGCACCGGGGGGAGGGGCAGGCACACTCAGATACCCTGCACACTTGCAGCCAGCCCAGCTGCATGCAGGCAGGTAAGTTTCTCTTAATTTTCTTTCTGTATCACCCTGGGCTTGGGGAGGAGTCAGGACAGATCGAGGCCTCCACAGTGCAGGAGAGAGTAGGGTAAGGGCAGGGCAAAGCCTGGCCCCTGGCCCACTCCCTGCTGCACTGTGGGGACTATCCCAGGAGCCAGTCCGTCCAGGACCCCATTCACCATGAATAGAGCCCGGCTGGGCCAGGTCATGGGACAGTCAGAGCCTGGTGACTTGTCTAGGGGCACAGGTGGGTGGCTCCCATCGCTGTGTGCACCACTGGGGGCCAAAGGGGAAAGGGGGATTTCCACCCTCCTCTCGGCTCTACCGTGCCACATTCCTGGATGAGCCTCCAGGCTCTGATTGTCCCATGACCTGGCCTGGCTGGGGCTCCGTTCATGGTGAATCGGGCCCTGGCTGGGCTGGGTCATGGGACAGTCAGAGCCCGGCACCTCGTCCAGGGGCATGGTGCTGGGCAGCCACGGGGGACTGGGGAGTATGTGGCCCCCTGATCTTTGCATGGGGCAAGGGCAGGCTGCAGCTACGAGCTGCACTCTACTTCCTGCCTCCGCGCCTTGCTGCCACTCCTTTGAAAGCAGCACAGCATGATGCCATGTGCCTCACTGCTCAGCTCACCCAGCAGCGGGATGCACGTAGCGCCGCCCGCCGCTTTCAAAGCAGCTGGAGCAGGGAGGTGTGGAGGCCTCTGGCCCAGTGATACAGCTGAGGCTGACCCACGGGTGGAGCGGGTGCATCCAGGGCTGAGGCCAGTGCATCCTGGGCTGGGAGGCAGCCAGGTCCGTTGCAGTGTCAGGCAACGCCGCTCCCTCCCTTCCCCCCGTGGCCCTTTCTCCGCCCCCTGCAGACTTTCCAATGGTGGGGGGCTATGCTCAGCCCCCTTCTCCCCCCCAAAGTTTTTTCTTCCTCCACCTATGACCATGAGCCCTGAAAACCGTTTTAAAACATTCCCAGACTATTTAACAGTAGTGTAAGAATGATGTTGTAGCCATCATGGTCCATAAATTATGAGAGGGAAGGATTTTGTAGGGTGATATCTTATATTGGATCAACTATGTAGCTGGGATAAAGTTAGATGAACTGTCAAATGCAAGACATTCTTCATCAGGTGTCTGATCACAGGAAGCTTCAGTGCTTGGCTTCCTGTAAGCAGAGACCTGATGAAGAATGTCTTGCATTTGAAAGCTTGTCTAACTTTATCCCAACTATGTAGTTGGTCCAATACAAGTTATCTCCCTAAGCATGGGCGAATCTAGGATTTTGAAAAAGGGTGCACATGGTGTGGCACATCGTCCCATATAACACAACATATATTTCTCCCGTTAAAGAGAAACTAGAAGCTTTACTTATACGGTAGGGACTTAGCACTATATTATTCAGTTTTAAGATCAAAGCAAAAAGCAAATATTGGAATGTGCACTAATTTCCTAGAGTATATATAAAGTTTAAAAAAATGAAGCATAGGCAAAAGTAGTCACAGAATATTGTATCATTAATGCTGTAGTCATTATAGTTAAAGTTAAATCTCTTATTCAGTTTCATAAAACAAAATCTAGCATTCTTGAGGGTCTTGACATTGCCTCCAATACTTCCCTGTCAGTTATTTTTACACCTGAGTTAATATTACTGTGCCCGAGTTAAGGTTCCTAAGTAGAGTTAAACAGTCTGCAGGGCTGTAAAATAGAAAAGAGACATTACCAGGAAGGGCTGCAGAAGAAAGGATAAGTTGAATAGTGAAACATCAGGACCATTAGAAAGGGGAGAAACATTAACAGGAGTCAGGGAGATGATAGAAGTCAATTGGCTCTCTCAGCACTACCTGACTAGAAATGCAGCCAGCCTTTGGTTTGAAAGTTTGGGTAAAGCAGGAATTAAAGGGTAGGGGAGGTGCAACTGCTCCACTGCCTCTCCCCCCGATCTGCCTCTGAACGTAAGAAATCCTTACCTCTTGCAGACTATTTAAGACTTAGTTGAGAAACAGAAGGCTCTTGGAGAGAGACAACAGCTGGAGAATCCAGATGGAACATGGCACCTCTAACAGATTTGACTCTTTCTTTCTCTTCCTTATCTGTGGCCTCTAGGGCTCAGGCTTCTTGGCCTGACCCACTGTACCTCCTACTCTGTTGTGGGTTGGTGTGAAGCAGGGGCATTAGCTCAGCACTTTCTGGGTCAGGGAAGGGGAAAGCAGGACACAGTTTCTGTTTTAGACTGTATTCTTTGCTAATTCCTGATTTATTTATTTTTTTTGCAAAAATATTTATTCTTACAGATATAAATATATATATACACGCACACACACACACACACACACACACACACACACATATATATATACACATATATACACACATGCCTGTACCTCTCCCAACTTGCCTTGTGACCAATATAGGTCACTTGGCAGTCCAAAACACACTTTTACAGTCACACCATTCTCATTCCAGTTACACTAACTGCAGTGTGTAGCCATGTACCTACACTCTCCATGGCCCCCATGCCTGTAGCTTCTGGGTCTGATTTTGGATCTCAGAGCCTTTTGTGTGACCGATGTTTTGCAGGTTGCCTTTAAGCAAAACCACGGGCCAGAGAATAGAGCTATGTCAGCTAAACTGCAACTAGAAAGGTGTTAACAAATACACAGTGTCAGCTCTCCTTGACACTTTCTGCAACTCCCACTAACCAATGTCCTCTGTTTTGTTTTATCTAGATATTGATGAATGTGAAAGTGGCTCCCATTGTTGTCAGCAGGACTGCAGCAATTCCCCTGGTGGTTATGAATGCGTTTGCTATGCTGGCTACAGGCTCCACACTAATGGCTGTGGCTGTGATGGTAAGCACCAATACTTGAGAGACCATGGGTGAGAAAGGCACTAGCTCCAACTCTGTTTCATCCTTTCATCCTTCTGTTTTGGGCTTATAGTTATGGTAAATTAATGATAACTGCTGAGTGGGATCTGGGAGCTTATTTTTATCAGTTTGTCTTAGATTTTTAGGAGGAAGAGAAAAACCAAACATGTGAACCAGACACAAATTAGCTGCTCCATAAAATCAACTAAAGAACATTAACAAGCATTACTAGCAAAGCTGAATCCTTCCCAGAATTTTCCAAAGATCAGGCATGTTAGTCTGGGCCCATCTCTACCAATGATTCATGCAACTGTCATTTTCTATTGCATGTAAATGGATAGTATTCTTAATAATTTTGGCACTGAAGTGGCCCAGGCAAGTACCTGTGTGACCATATAAAAACATAATTGGGAAGAGCATGACTCATGCAAACTCTTAAGTGAAAAAGTATGTCATCCTTCCAAATAACCCTAAAGAGCTTGGCATTTCTTCCAATTATTTCCTCCTAGCTAATGTCAGCTTTCCCATTAGTTCTGTATGAATAGCTCATTTAGCCAGTGAGTACAGTAAGCAGGTGTACTGTGGGGGGTTTGCACTTCCTAATTATACCCTGGTTTGTCTTGAGCATAGTAGTTCAACACCATTTGATGTTACCAACTAAAAGAGTATCCAGTTAGCCCAGTACCTTCAGGCTGGGAAATGGTGGAACTGATTATTAAAACTCATTGTCAAACAACTGTGGTTCATTTGTCACAAGCTTTGTTTATTTTAAAAGAAATATCCACAGTTTTTACAGAAGTTTAGGGCTGGAAGGGACCTCCTGAGATCATCAGGCCCAGCAAAGACTGCCGGGCTCAAATAATCCTAGCAAGGTGTGTGTCCAGTCTCCTTTTGAAGATCACCAGGGTAGATGCCTGCACCACACCACTCATGTCTGGTCACATGAACTGTAAAGAAGTTTTTTCTTACATCCAGTCTGAAAAGTTCTTCTAGGAGTTTATGACTGCTGCTCCTGGCTTTTACTTGGAGCATTTGGTGATTAGCTGTTCACCTAGCCCCGCCGATATATTTGTAACCTGAGAAGTTAAGGAATGAGGGAAAGTTACAAGTGAGTATTTTTGTGAAGGACTACCTTCAGCTGCAGAGGTACACAAAGTATTCACCTACAGTACCTGCATTGGCTGGGAATTGAACCCAGGTCTCCTACATGGCAAGCAGGAATTCTACCATTGAACCACCAATGCTTAACATTCAGTTGCCAATGCTTGACATTTTGCCTGTCTAGAGAAGTGAGACATTAAGAGGATATCTGTTTATCTGTGGGGATCTGGAGAGTAAATAAAATGCTTCAGGTAGGAGGAATGGCCGGTATAAATCCGTTCTAAGGCATGGTGAAAACAACACTGCAGTCCCCCGAGCCATCAGCCTACACTTTTCCTCAGCACAAAGTTCCTTTCAATTTAGAAAGAAATAGTGAGACTTGTCATCGGCCTCTGAGTTTTAGGTGGACCTTGGTGTCTGAGCTGAACCAATTCCTCTTCGGATCTGAACCTACAAGAATATTCCCTTTTGTGGCTTTTAGATGTGGATGAGTGCTCCTCAGACAATGGTGGGTGTGAACATACCTGTCAGAATCAGGTGGGTTCTTTCCAGTGCAGCTGCCAGATTGGCTACAAGTTGGATGAAGACCGGCGGAGCTGTATTTGTAAGTGGCATCTCATTTTCTAGAGATAATTAGGGAATGATACAAAGTGAGAACGCACATACTCTTTCTTGCCCTCTTCTCTCCTTTGCACTGCTTTCACTTTGAGTAATCCAGGGGCTATCACTGTAGAGAGGTCCAAAGTGAGATTTCTGAAGCAGTGTAGGGGATTTAGACACATGCCTTCCATTAGGGATGCATGTTTATGCCTGTATTGACTGCTTTGCCTGCATGCCATAGCAGAAATGTAACCCCTTTTTTGAACCCTTTGGAGCTGTGGAGAAAGCCATCATTCTTGACATCAGCTGCTCCTGTGAACCCTCTGCAGTTTACAAAGACATCAAGAAAACTATTTCCTTGCTGTCATGAATTTTACCTCCTACCAGAGCCCTCGGGGTTGAGATTTTCAAACCGGTCTATAGGATTTGGGCACACACTGAGGTGGTAGCTGGCTTTAGAGGATTTTCTCTTTGCTATATGATGGCGCAGGTCCTGGTAGCAGCGGAAATGCTGTGCAGAGGCCAGAAAAGGTTGAGAAAACAGTTAACAAACACGAGATGGACTGCCAAGCATCTTGAAGTTTAATTTTAGCCAACCCATTTTCACTTCACTTTCTGTAAGAAACAAATTTTATTGGATATTTCGAGGTGGTTGTATTTGGGTTATAAAAACTAAATTAACAGTAAAAGTAACTTTGCAGCTGCTCGAAATAGCTGTCAGACTGTTTAATTTAGCTGTCTCCTGGCAAATCAGCTTTCCTTGTAAATATATAAAATATTAGCTTTTTCTTTAGATTTTCTAAGGTATTTGGATGATAAGAATGATGTGGGTTTCTAGACTAACCGAAATGAACATGGGAGAGAAAGGAGAAATGGGAGAAGTAGAAAGAAGGAAGGAATAAATCACATTCCTCAATTTCCCCCAAATTTGCCTGTAGATCACAGGAAAAAAGAGTGCCTCTTTAAAGCACTAAGTCAATACAGAGCCATCAGCTGTAGTCAGATCTTCTGCTGTTTCCCTAGTGTCGTTTTTCTCCAGTTCATCACTCCTTCCCTCTTGTCTGGGCCGCTCCTGTTTGACTCGTGATGTGGATAGAGCTGTTTGCTGTTTCTCCAGCTCTAGGTGACTCCACAGAGGTTCTGGATGGTCAGCGCCTCATTATGTACCCTCTCCCTCATGTCGCCGTCCTGCGTGATGAACTCACACAGCTCTTTGAGGAAGACTATGAGTATGATGAAGAAGAGATGGAAGCAAGAGGAGAGCACACGCTTTCAGAAAAATTTGGTGGGCAGCAAAGCTATGTGACAAATCACTTCATTGATGCCTTTAGTAGTATTAGCACATTTGGGGCCAAGTTACATGTTCAACATTCAGGTGACTCTATCTGCACAGAGACTGCATTACTGTGTGGGGAAAGCAGTTTCTATTTAACCCACACAGGTTGGGGAGCGAGCTCAACTGGCATTGACTAATAGTTGTTTGTAAATGGAAAACTAGACCCCCCCCTTAGTTCTACAGATACCATCAATTATATTATTAAAATCTGAGCATGCACATTCATAAAACAGGGCTGAGAATTTTTTCCTTAAGGTCTTCAGCTGTTTATAGTTAAAATCTTATCTAAGCATGCTGGCTCATTGCCAGAAGAAGAAAATGAAACATCCATTTTTACTATTGCAAATTCTAGTGCATAATATGTCACCTCTGAGGAGACACCCAGGGTGAGACCTTTGGCCCCACTGATTTCAATACTGTCAGGATTTCACCCCAGAAACTCAAGGGTCTAACTAGTAATGACAAGAGCAGTCTTAAACAATGGATAATTTCTGTGCTCTGGTGTGCATTCCCTGACCTACTCCCCTTGACCCCCCAGCTCCATTGAGTCCCATGATGCTTGGATGTTTGCTGCAGATGTTATGTTCTTGAGCCTTGTGGGTCTGACTGCCCAGCTGCCCTCCACAGGTTGGTGAAGCAGCATATAAAATCCCATGTCCTTGTCTTCTGCTCTTGTTCCAGTTTGCTTGGAAGACACCTTTGGGAATGACTGCAGCCTGACGTGTGACGACTGCAGGAACGGCGGGGCGTGCAATGAGGAGCGCACTGGCTGTGACTGCCCGGAAGGCTGGAGTGGGATCCTGTGCAATCAGAGTGAGTGCCAGTGGAGACAGCAGGGGCTAGGAGAGAGACTGGGGGGCCTTCAGGTCTGTTAAATGTCACTTCCAAAAGCCAGTCAAAGAATAGTGAGAATACAAAACCCCAGCCAGCCACAAATAGCCAGCCCATTTGCCTGTGTTTGTTGGGTTTATATTGGCACAGCCTGGGCTCCAGTCACCAGACAAAATCCCCAGTAAAGTTCCTCATTCCTTGTTATCCTATAGATCCTCAGGGATTTCAGTCTACAGTCCAAGCCTGCAAGTGTGTGTATTTGGCATTGGATCTGAGCTCAGCGCCTAGACGGTGCACATAAACCTATTGGCAGTGAATTAGGCATTTTACCTTCTTTAAGACTCAAAACCTCTTTAAGACACAGATGGGCCTCCTTTAAATTCTTCCTCTCCCTCACTGAGCTTCTGGCTTGAAAGCTGTTGGCTGTTTAAGCAAAGGAATTCATTTCCCTTGTGCCTGTTAGAGGTTAGGCAGAACTGACCCTGGTTATCTGATGCCTGTTTCCAAAGTTGGCTATTAGTTGTTATCTGCAATTTCAGTTTGAGATACCTCTGTCAAATTTTGGCTCCCCAACCAAATCCCACTTCGTGTCTTAACCAACTAATTGGAACTGTATATTCAGGGTATTGTAAGGAAAGACTAGGTTCATACTTGCAAGCATTAGCAGAATTCCACGCTCCCTAGGCCAATTTACTCCTAATTAAGTCCTTTTAGGAAATCTCAACAAGATTCAGACCTTTGAACTGCAGAGAAGAATGCATAAAAATGAATAAAAAGTGATAGAATCTCACTTGTATCTTTGGCAGCTGGATTTCAGGATTTGTTGTCCCACAACTCATATCTTTCAGCAAGGGCATGAGCCAAAAGAGCTCATTTCCCCAGGGTTTTCCTTCCTGTAGGGTGGTGGGGTCACTGAAGAGAAGTGGAGAAGAAAGTGGAGCAGTTGGAGCCATCTGAAGAGGACCAAACCTCTGAACCTTGTTCTACTTCAGCTATGTTTTTTTATGCAATAGTTATGTCAGTTGAAGTTTTTAGCTCATTCTCATTGCTGATGTTGTTGAAGAGGTATGCTGAGCCACAGAAAACAAGATCCCTACCCAGGAGAGTTCCTAGTTTGGTTCAGATACAGTGCCTAGGAGACCAGGTCAATGCAAGAAGGGGAGAAGGACATAGCTGACCTGGAGGTGAAAGGAGGCAAGCAGCTGACTGTCAGTTAATGCCAAAACCTGTAATGTGGCCTTGTGCCTGTTGGAAAATGGTAATTCATCAAAAGTGGATTCTTTCACCAAGGCACTTTTGGCTAATCTTTCAACAGAACAAGGGTATCTTCCTATCTGCTCCCCTGCTCAGCTCCTCAGAAGCCTGCTGGAAGGACTGCCACAGGTCTGGGAAGCCAGGGTTTCCATGATCCACACTTTGGGAGCAGCTCCACCAGTCAGATCATGCAAGGCTCAAGAAACTTAAAGCTTCCAAACTCCCAGAGCAGCTGCCTTATCTGCACAGACCTCAAAAGCTGAGCAGTTGACAGCCTGGGAAGCCCCTGCTTTAGCCAGGATCCTGAGAGTCAGTACTTCTGGCTCCCCAGGAAGAAGCCTGAAAGCTGGAGAGCCCTGACTAGAGCCCTGTGGACCTCCTACATGGGTAACATTGCCTTTCTCCCCTCTGCCCGTCTTCTCCCCACAGCCTGCCCTGAAGGCACCTTTGGTCGAAACTGCAACTTCACCTGCCGCTGTGAGAATGGAGGCACATGTGATCCCATGACGGGGACCTGCCGCTGCCCACCCGGGGTCAGTGGAGAACTGTGTGAGGATGGTATGAGCAAGCTTCCTAGTATCCTGCTCCATGCAGCCATGAGAGCCACTCTTTGCACTTGTCCCTTCCAGAGGGTGACATTGGGAGGGGGCTGCTTGTGGACAGAAAGATTTATTCCCTGGGGAGAATGTAACAGACTTCAATAGCAACATCAGGCCCAACTGAGATTTGGTTAGACCTGCATGGTTGTGTGTGGGGTCATGGAATTGAGGCCATAACCTGGCCCAGTCCATGTACTTGCACATAAATGTGAACCCACAATGCTTCATGCACAGCCTAAGGAGGGCTGGGACTAAAGTGGGTGTAAACTTTCAGCTGTGAGATGGAGGTGAGGGAGTCTGGAGCCCACATCTCTTCCCTGAGTGGGTGACTGTGGGCAGACAGATGCATTCTCTGTCTGAATGTCCTCACTTGCATAATGGGAACGGTGACACTGACCTATGCGAGGGGTCATGCTGGTTAATGAGATCATGTTTATAAAGCGCATTGAAGAAGGAAGGCATTTTAGCAGGCCAGTACACATGGAGAGAGAGCAGAAGTCACAAATGCTAGATGTTGTCCCTGCCTTGCTGTCTTGCTTGTTTGCTTCTTGCAATTAGATGAGTTTTAGAGAAATTTGGGCCAGAACAAGAGGAAGAACATCATTGCTTAGTTGCTTGCGAGTCTCATTCCTGGAGCATGCAGGGCCATTTGTTTGCTTCGGGAAGTACACATTACAGTGAGACCTGATAAACAGAGACCATAGCCAATGGTGATGCTAGTGCCTCGCACATCAGAGCATTATCATGGGGCATGCACCGCCATGTGGCTGTCCCAGTTTGACCTGGTACCATTTAACCCTTTGGTTTAGACCATCACTGTGTGTGATTCTGACCAGTGCCCAGGTTCCCACGTCGTCCTGAGTTTGGGAAATTTTTCTTCTTTTTTTTTAATATGAAAAAGTATGCAAAGAACCCCTGGACTGCATTGCATTTCTAAGTAATATTTCAGCTTTAGCAGCTCAGGAAGGAGCTTCTGGGGCAGTGTGTGTGACGGGAACTGACCATTAGGAGGACACAGACTCATGAAGGGACCAAATGCCGAATTTTTAGAAGACCAAAGAAGTGAGCTTTAGGTGTCATTGAAGGAAAAAGTTTGATAAAGGCTTTGATAACAGCAATAAAGGCTTTGATAATAGTGGCTGCCTGAACTCGTGAGACAGGATCAGGGCATTGATATGGATGTGTATTCATTTGCTTCTCACTTTGGAAGGGTTAAAATGTAGGGAACATAATAAAAAAAAGGAAGAAAGAGAAAACCATGGAAACAAGGAGCCAATAAGAAATTCACTCAGGATGACCTCACCCCAATGGTTAGGAACATATGGAATCCATTATGGGAGGAGGCGGTGATGTAAAGTAGAAATGAGTTCAGGGGGCACCCAGAATTTTTTTCCCCTTTGGAACAAGGTGACTGAGGGGCTCCACAAGAAAGTAGGAAGGCAGGATTAAAGCAAACAGAAAGGGCCTGGCATATACTGCTGGCAGACATTTCCTGCTCCTAGACTGTCTGATATCCTTATCAGATGGGAGGAGAGTTGGGCGACTTATACCCATGCTGGCTGAAGTGTTCTGCTGACACAGGGTGTTTGGCATATGCTTCTAATAGTAAGTTCTTTAGCATAAAAGAAAATAGGCGTCAGCTTTTTTCCCTCAGTGTTGTTGTAAGTGATCAGCAGGGATGGCACAGTACTCTCCTTTTTTGGATATGAAGAAAAGGCCAAGCTGTTTGGAATAATACATTGGCTGTGGTCTTCCAGGGCAGGAACAGGTGCAGATACTTGGTGGGAGGAAGGTCCCAGGCGGTTTGCTGGTGGAGATATTGTCTGTGCTGCGTGGGCATTGAAAAAAGCCACAAGGCATTGTTCTCCCAGTGGCCTCTACTCCTGACCTGGTGCCTCTGCCTCAGTGCCTGCATTTCAACAGTTATGTATGTTTCTAGTTACGAAGCACTTAGGGGGCAGTGAGGTGAGAGGGGCTACAGAGACAAATTATTATTTGGCAGACAGGTTTCTCTACTTGTTTGCATTATCAAAGCATGGTTCTGTCTTCATTCAGGTCTGTCAGTGACCTGAAACTCAGGATGAGCTACTCCAGATCAAAGAGCTATCCATCACCTCCAGTATCCTGTCTGTTGTGTTGGCTAATAATACCTGAGACAGCCAAAATGCCTTTTAATGCTGTAAGCCTATTAACATGAGTGTGAAAAAAGTCTAGCCTTTCTGACCCCTACACCAACTGAAAGAGCCTGAGGTTTTTATTACTTGTATCAATATCTTTTCTTGCAGAGAACTCTTATCTCATCCATGGTCACAAATGTAATCCATCCTTTCTTTCCAATCTAGCTCTGCTGTTTGCCTGCAGTCCCAGTTTATCTTTGGGCATTGATTGTGACCCAGTCGTGTTCTTGGCAAGCTCTGCTGTGAGTGCTCCTGTCAATGATGGGTGCTCAGATGCTGATTGTTCTCATCAGAGGCTGTCTCTCTGTTCCTAGGCTGCCCTAAGGGCTTCTTTGGGAAACAATGCAGGAAGAAATGCAACTGTGCTAATAGAGGCCGGTGCCATCGGATTTATGGGGGCTGTCTCTGTGATCCGGGCCTGTATGGGAGATACTGTCATCTAGGTGAGTTTGTCTCCCCATTAGCACTAGACTAAGGTCCCTCTCTGGGTTCCCTCTGAGCAGACTCAGACCTGGGTGAGGATTGTGTTCAGTTGCTGAAAGCACTTACCAGTTGTTTTCCATTGTGTCTAGCTTGTCCCAAGTGGGCTTATGGCCCTGGCTGTTCAGAGGAATGCCTTTGTGTGCAGCAAAATACCCAGGACTGTGACAAGAAGGATGGCACCTGTCGATGCAAGCCTGGCTACCACGGCAAAAGGTGTCAGACCAGTAAGTGCTTAGGCATCAGGGGGCATTGAGGGGAGTACTTCCTGAAGATTTGCACACCTCCTCATTCATTTTCTGGTGAAAAACCAGGCACTGCTGTGTCTCTATGCAAGCACAGCCTGGTAGTTTGATTGGGGCAGGCCCTGTGGGCAGCCTCAGTCCCCTAAAGTGTCGGGTGTTGCACTGCTATCTCTGAGTACAAACTTCCTGTCCTTGTTTGCTGTGGCCTCAGTCCGGCCAGGCCTGTGATGTCAGGCTGGCAAGATGCTGAAATCTGGATGTCGGCACTCAGCAGAGCAGTCTCTGGTGCTTGGAGCCTAGTGCTCATTCCCCAAGCTGCCTGCTCACATGAAATGCTCTTTCTTTTTTCCAATTGTTAATAGAGTGCGATGCTGGCTATTATGGGATTGGCTGCAAGAACAACTGTAACTGCCACCTTGGGGTGGCCTGTGACCACGTGAGCGGAGAGTGTCAGAAAGAATGTCCTGCAGGCTTCTACGGAGAGAACTGTGACGAAGGTACACACACGAGGCTGGGGTAGTGGGCGTGGAGGTGGTCTACAATGAAGAATAAGCATAAATGACATCCCTCTTGTCAAGAATTCAGCTCACTGCTTTGATGGATGCTACACAGCTTAGATATTGCAGCAAAGGAGACAGCCTAGGATCTGAGAGAAGAGTGAGGCAGGCTATGATCCCTTCCAGCTAGGGACATTTTATTATTGTCTTGTGTTGGTGTGACTGCAGTGAATGGGACCTGTTTAAAAGCAATACTTATCCCCTTAATGGAATACAGTTGTTAAAAGAGCACAGCCAGTAACTTTTTTATGTCCTATAGACAGAAGGTAAACATTTTCCAAGTCACTTCAGTGCCCCTCAGCAATTTCAAATCCAGCATCCAACACTGAAGCCCCAGAATTGTGTGCCTCTGCATGGGTCTGGCTTCTGCATGCCTGCTTACTAAGCAGTTACACAGCTGTGCACACAATTTGCCCATGACTGTACTCTAAAGCTCAGCTTCTATGTTTCCTTTTATCTTCACTAAAGTGCTGGTGAAGTTCAGGAGCATCTGGGAAGCTGTTCTTTCTGAGCTTCCAGGCAAGCCTCCTTCCCAGATTCTTGTATTCGCTATTCCAAGTCTCCTTTTTTGCCCATGCAGAGACTGATCACTCTCCAAGAGCCAGTGGAAGCCTCCCCTCTCTATCAGATCCCTAGCAGGACTGAAAGAAAGATTTCGCAAGTATTCAGGTTTCCAACCCCACTACAGCAGATCTAATAATCTAATTAAATCCAACCCCACTACAGCAGATCTAATAATGACCTGAGCTCAGAAATGGCTTGCGATGAAAAAAGAACTGCCCCAGGCAAGCCTGCACGGAAGCACGGAAGTCTCTTTAAAGTGTGCAAGGAGGAAAGTCATATATAATCATTCTTAATCAGGGAAGCAAGACCTCCATTTGCCTTTCTCTTGCTTTATGGGAACTTTTACTTTTGTAGATAGTATGGTTGTCTTTTTTTTTTTTTTCCTCCTTTAAAAGCTCTTCATTTTCAGGCAATCCATCCTGGCTGGAATGATAAGTCATAGTAAAGTAAAGTAGTAAAGTTTCTTTGATCTGCAAGAGGAACAGAATATTCTTTCATTACAATGATATTAACAATTAGGGCTGTGCGAAACAGCACCATTTCATTTAAACTTCCTTTTTGCCATTTCAAAGGGACAGTGTTTCTTTTCAGTTTCGAAGTACTGTTCCGTTTTGTTTCGTCTAAGCTGTTTCGATGTGTTTTGACATTTTGCCCATAAGCTATAATGGGGAATGACAAAAATCTCTATAACTTTGTCATTTCTTTCCTGATTCAAATGAAAACAGCAGGGATGGTAGCCCCTGCTCAGGCCACAAAACCTGTCAAGTTTCAAGGAGATAGGTGCAGGGGTTTCTGGGAAACTGCACCTCAACTTGTTCAGAGGAAAACGTGTGTCATTTGTAAGTGTGAAGGCACAGAGAAAACTCAGTTCAAACAATGCTTTTTATGCTGTTTTTCCATCCCTTCACTGGGATTGAAAGGGACCTCAGGGAAGGATCACAGTTACTGACCAGCTACAGAGTCAATATCAGAGCATTCTTCCCCCCTCTTCCCCCTCCCTCTCCTTAGTTTCTGTTTAGCTGCAAGCAAAAAAAAAGCCTGGCCTGGAAACTCAAAATGTTTTGAAACTTTTGAAACATTTCAAGTGCCCTCGTTTCATTTCAGAGCTTTTGAAGCCTTTTGTTTTGTTTTGATTTCGCTGTTTCAAGCTCGAAATGTGTTGAAACAGCTTTGAAATGAAACACCCGTCAAAATTTTGCACAGCCCTAATTAACATGTATCCTACTGCCCCCATCCAGTCCTACCCACAGGGTTCTGCTCTTTGGGAAAGAGAATTAGGCAGAGCATCACAACTGAAATTTGCAGCTCTTAGGGGAAGGCAACTGTAATACTGCCCTTAGCAAGGAGTACTTGGCTTTCTCATTTTGTAAGAGATGTGCACATCACATTTGTGTTGCAAATAAGCTGTTAAAGTGAGCGTAAAAAAGCTGCAAGGCCCAGTGGTGCATGTTGGGGGATTGTTGGGACTGTTGAGTTGTCAGGTGGGCTTGAAGCCAGGATAAATGGGTTTGGATGGCAGGGAGGGAAATGAACAGGGGATAAATCACTCTAGATCGGGGCAGGCAAAATATGGCCCATGGGCCAGATCCGGCCTGCCAGGCCATTCTGTCCAGCCCATGGGGCCCCTAAAAAATTTAGAAAATTTATATTTATCTGCTCCTGGCTGCCTGTCAAAAATGACAGGAGATGGGGCAGTAGGACCCAGGGGAAGCCGGCAGGACCCAGCAGCAAGGCCATTCTGGCCCTCCCCAATCCCTGCCCCCCGCAACCGGAAGCATCTGCCAGCAGCTACTTTCACTGCTTGTCTGTGTGCCAGCTGGCTGTTCCAGCACCACGTGGCTCCTTGCTGCATCACTGGACTGCGGGAGCATGGGGCTGTACCTCAGGGCCAGGAGCAGAAAGGAGTGTGTGTGTGTGTGTGTGTGTGTGTGTAGTGAAGGAGG